TGACGGCAACAATGTAATTGAACTGCAGACAGAGATAGAGATTGACGATTGAGACGAGCACGTGAGTTGTTCGTTGTGAATTATAGCGTTTGTTATAGTGTGACTGTGGAAATTAAGTATATTGCAAAGTTGTATTCAGAAAGAATAAACCAGTTTTATTTAAGAAAGGGCTTGTACCGCTAAAGTTTCTTCGGAATGAATTTTTACGGAAAATTAACTAACGACAGAGCCGTAACAATATATATTTTGCGCACACTACAAAAGTTAGTAAATAAGTAACACATTTATTTAATAATCAAATTCAGTTGCTATCAACTGAAGGATGGGGAGGCACACTGTTACAAAGAAAAACTTTTCCATTCATGGCGGATGGGAATGTAAATTGGTTGTATTTGATTTGAGTTTAATTGTTTGTTTATCCTTCGAGGTCTACAGACAGTCTTCTAAACTTTCTTGATTCGTCAGTCTGCGAACATTATTTGAATTTAAGTCACTTTAATTACTTAAAACCACCGTCCTTAAGTGATCCTTTCTAAATTTTCTCACAGAGCTATACGAAAGGCTATCTGACCTGGCAACTCTATAATTTTGAACTTATAAGTTAGAGATAAGGAAGTCAGTGAACAGCACCCAACGCTAATTCCTGAGCGGTTCCTGTTTACCAAATGTTGGGATTTGACCGTCACTCTTATAGCGCTGTCAATGGCTCAAAAGTGCGGAACACATTTTCGCAGCAACGTAACCAAACCATGAATCCTCTGATTTACAGTCAGAGCACGGAAACAACTCAGCCACTCCCTGCCCCATTAACTTACCTAGCTATATATTTGATAAGTGTATTCAGTACTTGGTAGGCTCTTGTTTGTATTTTTTCCCTCGGTCTTATGACCCGCTCTTCCCAAAACTTTTCTATTTGAGTATCGTTGTTGTGGTATGTTCAGGTAAAACTGAACTGTCACATAAGCTAAGTAAGGCAACAATAAAAGGATGTTCTTAATTAAAACAAATTTAACAAAAAACAGAGACTTAGCATAGCTGTTTCTCATTGAAACAAATAAAACTGCTGGTGATTTAGTTCATTGAAATGTGTCGTAGACAAAAGCAAATGCTATCTATTCGACCAGCCTGTCTGATTTATAACAGCGAATGTGCTGAGTTGATATGCTCTGGAAGTATATTCAAGTTCAAGGACTTTCAGGATAACCTTTCATCAATGCCACGAGATTAGGTCTATTATTCAAAAAGGGAAGCTAAACACAGGCAACATTTACAAAAATGCTGAAGAACTGCTTGAATATATCTGAATAAATTGTGCCCATTTTTTACGTTATTAAAAGGATGCAGCTATAATATTTGCATACTAAATTGTTAACAAATTAGAAATACAGAAAGAAAACGTTATTGAAACTTTTAAAGTTATCTGTTAGCCTTAATTTTATTATAGCTTGTAATAACACAATTGTACTATTTTTCACAGAGCGTCCGTTTTTTCACTTTTTTAATGTAAGTTACGCTTATCGGACTAATTATATTACTGTATAATTTATTGGAATTCACATTCTTAATTGATACCTATTAATAACTGTACAGCTAAAATGGATATTAATGTTAGGCTTAACATAAGGCCAATCATACTGCGAAAATGAAGCAAAAAAGGCGTGGCTCTTTTTATCAAATTATTTACGTTTATATGTTTGTTTAGTTACATGTATAAGTTCTGTGCACATGGTAACAGAGTATGGTATGTATTTACGTAATATATATATATACATATTATACAAGAAACTCTCTACAGACATAAAGGATAACGAAAAAGACACGCATCAGCGCCTTACTATGATTTTTTAAATTCATATTTGTATTTCATTCTCTATTTTTCCTTTTACGCAATAATTAGTTGGAAAGTTATTAACCTTGCACGTTTGGAAGAGGTCCTGTTGTGGCATTGTATAGTAATATCCAAGGTGTACGTTTGGAATAACATAATGATAAAAATTTGAAAAATAACACAGGCCTGCTATGGTTTAATTGGCTTGAAATTTGTACATGTTCTACAGTTATTCCTGTATGCTGAATCCGAAAATGGTATCCTTTTTTTTTCAATCACGTACAGATTTTCACAAAACGTCATATGTGCTTTTACATAAGTGAATCATTTTCATTTAAATCGAGTCACATTTTGTTATGCTTAAAATGGTGACAACCACTGGCTATAGATTTCTCTAGACCAATCGCGACGTAAGAGTCTTATCGATCGTTCTAGAATCCACGAGAAACACACCGCTTGTATATAAATGGTTAAACAGACCGCATGACGTGTTTGTGCGTGCACTTTGACATTATTTTGTTCTTTTCAATATTATTTATTCGTCGCTATGGCAACAAGAGACTATGTAAATGACCTAAACAAATTTTGTTAGATTTATTGTAAATTTGTTATAAATTAGATTTAAGTAAGAGTTTTTTCCCCGATTTGTAAAAAATCTTTAAGTGAGAGAGAAAAAATGAATATTATTTTCGAAATCTGCCTAGGTGAATTATGAAAAATCCGCTATTAAAACTAGAACGACTTTTATGAAGTTTAAATTCGCAAGCCTGTGTAATAATTGACGCGCTATTTTTGCATCTGCATATGAACGCTCTAAAAACATGTTTTATTATAAATTTCTATTAATGTGCCATTATTACATTACAAATTGAATTACTTCGTGTAAATAAAAGTGAATTTCCCACATAAGAATAAGCTTGAACACAGTATAAAACTTTAATTCTTTCAAATACGCAGGTGCATCACAGGTAACATTAACCACATCTGCCTTTATAATGATTCACATTTTGAATTAATACCAAACCAACAGCGACAAAAGGTTGATCATAAATCAGACATTCATTACGTTTTACTTCTGACCTCCTAAAACTTTTCGTATATCGTTTTAAAGTAGAACAACTCACTAAAATAATCAATGCATTTCAGAATCTAACAAATGACTGGAGTTAAACGGAACTGTACATAATAATATTGTTTATTCGAACAACGTTAAGTAATAATGTATGGGAAGAAAAAAAAGAGATTAAAGGCTAACGTCTAAGCAAATAGATAACAGACTTGCCAATAAAAAATCCGAGATTGAATTCTAGAGCGCAGATAGCCCATTGTTGTTATTTGTTGTTTTAGTGCAAAGCTACACAATGAGGTATCAGCGTTCCATTGATGCATTTTCTAAAAGTTCCCAGTAATAACAAAGGTTACTAAAATTAAAACAGAACATTGTGACCACGCTTGCATGTGTATGTCACTGTTGAAGGTGGCTGTGAATAGAAGCAGAAACGTTCAAAAAAGCGAAGAACATTACTTTCTAAGGACCTAGGTTATGTTTCCACTTATTGCAATAACTCATTTACGTTAAAGCTTTTGATATTAATATCTGCTATATATATATCTGTTCCCAGTAAGTCACGTGAATGTACTACAACAACAACATACCAGCTGCAACATCTTGCCGCTAGTTGTTGACTCGACATTTCAACGACTAAGAATTTAATGGCAAATGTATTTTTAACTCTCAAACAGTGATGTTTCTAAGATTTGTTTATTGAGGGGGAATAAAAAATTAACATTCACATATCAGTGGGAGTTACAAAGTAAAGAATTTAAAACTTTGAGAAGACTATATTTAAGATGGGGGGGGGGACTGATGGGCCAGCGCTCTCTAATGGGGTCTGACCCTCACGTCACCTCGGTAGACACACCCCTTCTCTCAAAATAAAAAGGTTAGCAAGCACTGCAGGTCTGATGCTGTGAAAGCGCCACCTGCTGTAAAGTATGAACAAATAAGTGTTGGAAGAAGAAGCCTGATATGCATAAATATGTAATATAGATGTAGAATACTTTGTCAGGTTAAACACAATACATGATATTAAGTTTAAAAATTAAGAGCGGGTTTGAGTGCTCAAATTCATAAACAGAAAGAAATATATCAGAAAGAAAAATCAAACATTTTATTGTTTCATACTTGTTTTTCATATTTATATGGATAAACAGATATGTGAATGTGTGCATTCACTCGTATTCACTGAAACATTTTTGTGTCATTTCCATCCAACACGTATGTGATCAATACCGCACTCTCAATATTGAAATGAAAAAAATCCAATAATGTTTTACATTAGATAAAATGATTAAGAGATAACGTGAATAACACATATACAGACACCGTATACAGCGACAAATGTGTATAAATGGTGCATATATTGTGTGCTAAATAACTTACATGTGTAATCTTGTGAAAGACTATCGTTTCTACACAGAAAAGTACAAAATACACATTCAACTATACTCGATACAAACCACTTGCTTTCATAGAGTTAGTAGGATAGTATCATCAACAACCTTATTTTTCCATACGAGTAACAGATATTTGGATAGGATCATCAACAACCTTATTTTTCCATACGAGTAACATAGATATTTGGATAGGATCGTCAACAACCTTATTTTTCCATACGAGTAACATAGATATTTGGATAGGATCGTCAACAACTTTATTTCCCCATACGAGTAACATAGATATTTGGATAGGATCGTCAACAACCTTATTTTTCCATACGAGTAACATAGATATTTGGATAGGATCGTCAACAACCTTATTTTTCCCATACGAGTAGCATAGATATTTTATCTACTTCAACAGATTCTGTTAGCACTACTTTCTGTTTACTACCTTCTTTCTACCTAGACACAGAACCAGAGGACGAGTGGTAATCAATATTGGCTCTCAGTTCATACACATAATCAATAAGAAAAAGCAGAACTTACTGTAAAAAACGAACAAAAAAAGCAGATGGCGGCTGAAACGGAGGTAGATAGGTAAAGACATAAACAGGTTATATAAAGTAGTTTAAACTTTTAAATTCTGAATATTTATCTTTGAAAATATTTTTAAAGAAATTGTAACACTGTGATGTGCTTGTCTTCAAAGATAAATAACTTTTAAACCCACCTGAAACACTCGGTCTTACAGCAGGGATCAACACAGCCCACTATTACTGCACGTCTTCTAACACCGCGACCAAAACTGTTTGTCAGAACGGAGACCTAAGTAATAAACTTTAAAAGTTTCCACATTTATTACGCAAAACAAGACGAAAAGTGAGTTTTAATTTGTCGTAATATTCCACTCTTTCTTTCTTGGTTCTTTTTACCTTGACACGTGTCGGAATAAATCACCAACTCATCGTGAAAAGCTTCGCAGCCGTTCTATCTAAGAAGGTTTTTGCTCTACCAGGCTTGTTCAGAGATCCAAATACTGCTTCAACACCTCGTGGGCGCGATAACCTACTGACACGTTTTCCCATGCGCACCTCGAGCACCACTTGACGCACGAGCTGCTCAACAAGATGCGACTTTTACAGCTATGCTAAATCACGTCACGATTCTCATCCCGACAATTTTAGGCGAATTTTATACGACTACTTTATATTTGTGAAACTTTCAGCCTACTGTATGTAAGTCGTCGCTAATCTGTCACATCACAGTTGTATGTTTTCCTGTACAACAAAAAATTAAAAAAATAAACAGACGTAACTTACGTCGTACTTGCTGTTTTCCTGAGTCAAAGGCAAGATTAATGTTCTGATAAAAGAAACAACAGAAGGTACTGTATATTACCCTGTCAGGTATTTCTATGTAATCAGATATTTCTAAATAAACAATAACTGTAAACCTTTATACTTAAGTGTGAATAATTTCAAAAGCACAAAAATAAATTTCACTTTGCACAAACACATTTAAGTAAAAGTAGTGATGACCACTCACAGATAAATGTGTACATTTACTTCATAAGCTTATATCGTTATAGCAACGTAAAAATCAAAATTAAAAATATGCATTATCTATAAAATGATACATTTATTCTAAGTATTTTAAGAATGATATTGTATGTAGAAATTTGTTATACTTGTAAAAATTGTCCTTTTTGGATATAATCCATGAACTTTAATATAAACACTTTTTTAGAGTCCCACATTATAATGTGTAATTTATATTGTGGTTTTTGGTTATGCATGTAAACTCCAATAAATATGGCTTGAAAATGTAATATGCTTGTATTTTTCCTGCAGTCAGGATGCCATCAATATTATGTAGCTAATCGACTTGGTTGGCTGAAATACAGCTTCAATCATGTACTGATGTTCCACCATGCTTCATCATAGGTGTTGTGCATGGACCATGATACCGTTCTCTTCTCAGCTATCATCAAACAATTTGAACTTGGGTTCATCTATAAAGAACACACGCCTCCAGCTTTGCTCATTCCACTGTTTATGGTCCAATGCCCATTTCAACCTAAGTTTAGCTACTTATTCTCCATAACAGATTTTGAGTACCTACACTTTAACTGAGACCATTTTGTAATAATGTGTATCTTACTGCTCCAGAGATAACATTCATAACTGTGCTGCCAGGAAGGACATTGGCAAGATCTGCACTTGACCATTGTCTACCTCGTAAAGAACGAACACTGAGAGATATATAATGCCATTTTGGTATATTTAGTCCTATATGATTGAAAAAATTCTTACTGGGCAAAAAACGGATATTAATTGCTTTCAATCTGTGGTTTTGAAAGTGTCTCAGTACATTTTTGGTATCACTTTTATCTTACTGAAAAAGATTAAAAACCTAACAAAGTATTTTCACTAAATCCACCATGTATCACCTTTAGAAAGGCCCCTACATTATCTATGTATGCTAAAAAGTGCTATAAGTGGAACCGCTAGTGGGTTAAACCTTTATTCAGTTGATGGAGCACTCACTTGGTATGCCAAAGGTGTTGGTTCAATACTGTTCGCGAAATACACAAAAAGGTTAATGTTTTCCAAAATGCATAAATATTACAAGTGTATATAGAACATATTTTTTTTATCAAAATCTGTTATTCAGCTTTGAAACATCATATTCGTTATGCTCATTAATCAATGTTATAGACATTGCTATATGAATACACTAGCGTACCATCCTTTACTATCAAGTATATAACTAATACCTTTATTCTATTTTTTGATGTAGTATATAGAGGTTTTTTATTAAAAATATTATGGCGCCTTACTGCATCGTTATAGTCCATGTTGCCACGTCCGATCATATTCTATCTGATGAATGTGCATCTTGACAATAATCATGTAAAGCAGTTTCCATTGCAAAAGGCTCCATCGTTAGGCTGTCATGTTCAAAGCACACTCCATCCTCCCTGTTGATCTAGTACGGAGACAACGGTTTCTTAGAATACTTTTCAACAGTCCAGTCGCGAGTTAACCAGCATGTCTTCGTATGGAATGGTATGAATACCTGTTTTATTCTTTAGCTGCTGAGGTATGCAACGAATGAAATGGTATGTCATGGAAGCAATTTATGTACAGGTGGCTTGCGTTGCTTTTCCAGATCAAGTTGTTTTCCACGTGTCATTAAGTATAAGGGATAGCCCCATCTAGGAAATTCTAAATCCCCGATTTGAACATATCTGAATATATGAATATTTTACATTAGATAGGGCTGTTACATAATCATCCAAAAGCAATCAATTTTCGGTGGTACAACACTGTTAACAAAATACCAAAGAATGTCAAAATGTAGTTCTGATACATGCCTTTCCATCTCGACTCTATATTGGCTGTGATTAGCACCTCTGTATACTCAAATAATGAGAACTACTAATACCAAAATGTGATTTTAGATTTCGGGGGAGACAAGGTTAAAATATGTTCTAACCTAAAATATATGTGCACATTTTACCAAATGTCTGTGTGTGTGTGTGTATGTGTGCAGAATCAGAAATATTAAAAACAGAAACACTGAAATTAACAGTAACGTATATTTACTTCTCTGTGGTAAGATTATTCAAGCAAACAATTAACAGTAACGTATACTTACTTCTCTGTGGTAAGATTATCCAAGCAAACAATTATAAGATTCAAATCCAAAATCATAAAAATAACTATGAATATTCATGATTAGACGCTTTTATATTACAAATCAAGTAAACCATTAATGATAGACTATTTGTAAAGAAATAAAATACTGTATCACTTACTTTTACATTTCGCATGATTGCCAAAGGGCATAACATTTCAGGACAGGAGTAAATTTTTTGTATTAATTAATTACGATAAAAATATTATTATTTCCCAGTTTAATTTAAGCGTAGTCTACTTACTATTTCTTTCACATAAAAGTATGTTTTTAAACTAAATGCACAATAAATTTGGAGTAAGATTTAGTAATTACCGTTTCTACAAAACAAAGATACAGAAGTATCAAAACTTGATTTTAGTAATTTTAATCTGCCCAAAATGTATTCTACGAACAAAACTTTAACATAAAATTGCATTTCCTCCTGATATTACAATATAAGCGTAATGCTGCTGATCACAAATTACGGGCAATAAGAGAAACATCATTGAGTTGATTATTGTGTATGTAATATATTCTAAGTATTTTCATTAGATAATCGCTTCTTTTCTACTTAGTTTTTGTAATAATTTCAACACTTAGTTTGATAAATGAAATTATTCATTAGTAGAGACGTACAAAAAGTTAATATATTTTACTTTATGAACGGTCATGAATAAGACAGGATAGGTGATTACTTCTTTGCGCCAAACGTCACTAGAGGAAATGGTAATTATTGAGGTAACTGAGAATCTTAAAAAAATCAGGGTTTAAATGTTAAAAGCTAGCGAAGCATTGGAACCCGATAGGTCTAAATTTTCTTCAAAAAATCACGAAAACTGCAAATGTATTTTTTTTTCAACTTCCTCTTATTTTGCCCACTTCCTATTCAAAATCAGAGGTGTATAAAAATAGTATTTCAGACTTATCTTTTGTTCCCACAAGTCACAGTCCAAGTCACTGTTTATATATGCAGTATAAAAATTTAAAAGTTACGGTTCAAACGTTGTAAACCTCCGATTTGGAATCAGAAGTCAAATTAAAAGGAATACGAAACCCCCCACCTATACACCTCCCATACTGTTAGATACTGGGTTTCGATACCCGTAGTGGGCACAGCACAGATAGCCATTTATGTAGCTTTGTGCTTAACAACAACTGTATTTTACGTGATTTTTGTCATAGATATTAGACATGTTGGTTTTCCATGTTTCGCCAACTTCCAGCATTTAAACCGTAACTTTTAAATTCTTATATTGCATAAATAAATAAATAACGTTTTAGAAAAGGTGTTGTTCAACTTTTGGTTTTCCCACATATTTCTTTAATCCTTTAAAATGTTAATCTTTTAATTTTTTTTTTCTACATGATCATACATTTATCAATAAAGTTTACTACTAATATGGATACTTCTCCTTGCCGAATAGAGGGCGAAACGTCTTTTGGCCCGCCAATTTCATTACTGGAACTGGAATAAAATGACAAAAAAGTTTTGTTTATCACCGTCCAGCACAACTAAGGAATTCCGGCTAGTATTGAACTTGACCAAAATTCTCTTGGGCAGTGACTTGCCGGAGATAGAAAATAGCTCTTTAACACATCCATAACTTGTTATCCGAAGTGTACAAATTAGATTAGGGAACTGTGCAAACAAAATTGCAGTTTGCGTGATTTTTATGAAAAATGTTAAGCCTAATTTAGAACCTTCTTCTTCTTACAAATACCTACCCCTCAGTGGCACAGCGGCACGTTTGCGGACTTACAACGCTAGAAACCGAGTTTCGATACCCGTCGTGGGCACAGCACTGATAGCCCATTCTGTAACTTTGTCTTTAACTACAAACATAAATACTTCATTCACTTTTTTCACATGAACCTGGGGAAATAACGCTGAAGCCAAAATAGAAACAAAACATTTAATATTATCAATATGAATGTAAAAATATAAAAAATAAATAAAATTCTAGGCATAACCTCAACGTTTACAAAACAGTTGGGACATCACTAACACTCAATGCCTCTATTTGAATACCAAAGTTCGTTTATGTTTAACTATTTCAACCTCTCTTTGAATGTTGTTGTTTAAACAGACTGGTAACCTAGAATTTGTATATCTAGCCTAAATAGTGTTTAACATAAATATCTCTTCTATGTATTTAGTCCATTTACTCTCTCCCACACTAACAAAATAATATTAAGAGCTGGAAACTAGTAGTACACATTCAAATGACGTGTTCCTGAGAATTAGAAGATTGGCAAATATTTCAGCTAAACGACTTTAGTCCGTATGTTAACAATTCACAATGTTTTAACAACCTGACATTATGCGCTATTACCGCGTGCTGAAGTAAAATAAAATGGGACTTAATA